TCTCTCTCTCTCTCTCTCTCTCTCTCTTGCCCGCTCGCTCGCTCATGTGTGAGTGTGGGCGCGCCTGTGTGTGTGTGTTTGTCGTGTGCTAGCAGGTTGTTCCCGCGGTCCTCGCCGCAAGTTAAGTTTCTCCCATCATGAAGTCGACCATGACGGTGGTTGCGGCGTTCTGCCTGCTGGTGCTGCTGGCTTTCCCGGCCATTGTGTCGGGGTGGTGCCTGGATGATACGGACCACGACCCGAACACGAGGAGGAAGATCGACTGCCGCAAGAATCCCGACGCTGCAGGGTCCCAACGGGCCTGCCAGAGTCTGTGCTATGCGGAATCCTGGTGCCAAGGCACCGTCTGGATTGGAAGCCCAGCCCATTGGGTCAAGGGCAAGTACTGCTGCTTCCTCAAGGACAGGTACAATCCAAGCGCTCTCAAGAGCCAAAAGCACCGCAGGTACTGCAGGAGAGGCTACTGACTGATGGGATTTAACGGACCAGTCTGAGCCAATCCTACTGGTGGCTAGCGGTGGCCAAAACCATGATTAGTGACGCGGCTGGAGGGGACAGCGTGATGAAGGCAAGTAATTAACGGTGGTTAACGGCAGCAGCAACGGCTGTCACCGTTTGTTAACCGCGGACGGCGGTTAACAGCCGAGGCAAACACAACGTGGCAGCACTCTAAGTCACCGTTTGTTAACCGCGGACGGCGGTTAACAGGTCCCAACGCTGGACACACTGTAAGCTTTTTTACTGCGTGTGTGTGTGTGTGTCATCCGTTAGGACTGATGTCAATCCATGTCGTAACGGAACGTAAAGGTACGTAACGGAACGGAAGGGCTAGGTGCAACGGCTGTCACCCGACAGAAAGACTTGTGCCCCCTGAGTGCTGCATAAGGATATTGACGAGGATACCCGTCAACATAGGTGGGTTAACTGGGGAGACATCGTTGGGACATGGTTATCATCATCACACCGTCATCATCGTAGTACACACGCAGAAAGTGAGAAGGGATAGAGAGGTGAACGACCACGATCATCAGGACAGAGTCTGTTTCCTTATGCTAGCGGAGGTCAAGACGAGGTTGAAGGAACTTCAAGGAAGAAGTCATGCAGTACATATATGAACGCCTGATGTGCTTCACAGCATACACTCCTCTCTCTCTCTCTCTCTCTCTCTCTCTCTCTCTCTCTCTCTCTCTCTCTCTCTCTCTCTCTCTCTCTC